CCCCCCCCCCTGCCCCCCCCCCCCGGATGGGGCCAGCCCCCCTCCCCCCAATCCCGGCCCGCTCCTCCTGGATGGGGCCAGCCCCTCTCCCCCCAATCCCTGCCCGCTCCCTCTGGATGGGGCCAGCCCCCTCCCCCCAATCCCGGCCCGCTCCCCCTGGATGGGGTCAGTCCCCCTCCCACCCCCAATCCCTGCCCACTCCCCCTGGATGGGGTCAGTCCCCCTCCAACCCCCAATCCCTGCCCACTCCCCCTGGATGGGGCCAGCCCCCCTCCCACCCTCCACCCAGTCTGCTCCCTGCCCCGATGAGGACTGTTCCATAGTATCCCGCCTTCCTTGCCACCTTCCCCTCAGAGGGGGCCAGCGCCCTCTCGTTCCTCGCTCCCCCACAAGGGACGTGTCACGGGACGTTTTGCCCCTTTAAGGGCTTGGGGCCAGCCAGCCCTGTTCAGTTCTCAGCCCCAGCCGGGACGGGGCAGGGGGTTTCTGTGGGGGAAGGAGGGAGCTCAGCTGCAGAAGGGGGAGGGGCGGGGGGTTGGGACTGGCCCTGGAGGGGGCAGGCAGGGCTCCTGCAGCCTGTTTTGTGTTACTTTGGGAGGGTTTTGTTTGATGGAATAAACCATGCCCGGAGGGAGGCCCCAAGGCATTGAATCCCTCCTGGGCCAGGGAGAGTGGCCGGCAGCCCGACAGACCAGCGCCACAGCATCCCACACAGAGCTGCCCCATTCCCCTGCTCCCTCACCCGGCCAGTCAATGGCTAGGGTTACCATATCTCATAAATAAAAAAAGAGGACCCTCCACGGGTCCGGGCCCCGCCCATTTCTCCACCCCTAGCCCTGCCCCAACTCCACCCCTTCCCCACCCTAACTCCGCCCCCTCCTCCCTTCCACTCCCAGCCAGGGGGAAAGGGCTGCCCCAGTGCTACTGGCTTCAGGGTTTGCCGGGCAGCCCCCAGACCCTGCGCCCTGGCCGGCGCTTCCCCAGCGCAGCTGGAGCCCGGGAGAGGAAGCACCCAGCCTGGGGTGCAGGGTCTGGAGGCTGCCCGGCAAACCCTGAAGCCGGTAGCACTGGGGCTTTGGGCAGCCCCTATGCCTCCGGACCGTGCGCCCCCAGCCGGGCACTTCCCCTCCCGGGCTCCGGCGGCGCAGGGTCCGGAGGCACGGGGCTGCCCGAAGCCAGTAGCACTCGGGCAGCCCGGCTCTTAAACAGAGCCAAAGAGTCGGGGAGGAGCAGAGCCGCCATTTTCCCGGACATGTTCGGCTTTTTGGCAATTCCCCCAGGACGGGGGTTTGACTGCCGAAAAGCCGGACATGTCCGGGAAAAAGAGGACGTATGGTAACCCTATCAATGGCGGGAGGGCCAGGCCAAGGATCCTTTGCGATGGAGCCGAACCTGCACGCGTTGGGCGCCTCCTGCCCCAAGAGGTTTGGCAAAGAGCGCTTGTCCAAAGCAGCTGGGTGTCGGGGGCCACTAGCTCCCTGGCTGCTAGGCCTGAACATGGCGTCTGGGGACTGTTAGCGCTTCATCTGCACCCCGCCCTCCCTGCGACAGGCTGGTCACCAGCCCCATTGACAGAAGGGGGAACGAGGACAAAGGTTAAGGTCAACATGTGCACCTGGGTATTTAGGCCATGAAATACATGGCTGGACTATTGCAGTCTGAGCCCCTCCAGCTATTCGCACTTGGGTGCCTCGATCTGGATTTAGGTGTCTAGCTGGAGCTGGCTCTCCTGCTGGGCTGGGCGGGAGTCCCATCAGCGTTGGCCTTGGCAACACTGCTCCCAGCCAAGAACTGGTCTGGTGCCCTCCCTGCTTCCCCTAGACCCCAAGGGCGAGCCCTGGACTATGGACAACCTGGGAGCTTTAGGAGAAAACAGTGCTGAGCCTTCAGCGCTAGTGGCTGCGTTACGTTTACACACTCAGGGCTTGTCTATGGCTGAAACGCTGTAGGGGTGCCGCTGTAGCGGTTCGGTGAAGTCCCACCTACCCTGCAAGGAGGGGGTTCTCCCATCGGCACATGCACTCCACTCCCAAGAGCGCTAGCCCCATGTACACCAGGGGTTAGGTCGCTTTAACTGCGTCGCTCAGGGGAGTGCATTTTTCACACCCCTGAGCAAAGTAGTTCAACTGACCGAATTTCCTAGTGTAGTCCAGGCCTTAGGGGATGTCTGCACTTCAGACGCAGCCTTGGGGCCACGCCCTGCAGCGAGGAGGGGGGTTCTCCCATCACTGTCGTTTATCTACCTCCCCAAGAGGAGGCAGCTAACTCAATGGCAGAATTCTTCCACTGACATAGCGCTGCCTACACCAGGGGATGGGTTGTCTAGATACAGGCCTACAGCCAGAGCTACACTCCAGACTTATACTGGTATAACTGCATCGCTTGAGGGTGTGAAAAATCCACGCCCCTGAGTGCTGTAGTTACACCGACCTAGCCCGGGCAGACAGCGCTGTGTCAGTGAGAGTTTGTCCCGTGGACATAGCTACTGCCTCGTGCGGAGGTGGATTAATCATGCCAATGGGAGAAGCTCTCCCGCCGGTGTAGGAGCGTCTTCACTTAAGTGCTACGGGGTGCAGCTGTGCTGATGTAGCCTTTTAAGTGTAGACCTGCCCTGCGTCTCTCGCTGAGGGGGGTGGATTGTTCTGTACCTGGGAGATGTAGCTCGGCGCGATGTGAGTTTTCAGTGTAGCCCAGCCCGAAGTTCCCTATGACATTCCCCTCCCCCCAGCGGGCAGGCTGAAACGCAAAGGGAGCAATGTCCCCATTGCGAAAGAGAAGCCAGACAGTGTCACTCTGGTGAGGGGTGGAGCTAAGGTTACTCATTAGCCCGTCTAGCTCTGCCACTTCCTGCCTGTTCAGCGGGCAGCCGGGCATTCTGGGTCACCAGGCTCCGGCCTCGCAGCTCCTGGAGCGCTTCGCTTTTCTCAGGGTCGCACGACCCGCGGGAACGTGGCTGTGTCTGGTGCTTCCTTGCTGCTCCTCTGGTGTGTCTGCCGCGTCTCTCAGACACGCCCCCCGCCCCACCCCGCACTCAGTGAAATCCCTCCACCACCGTAGCTGGCTTCCTGATGGGCTGGCATGGGCGGACGCTCCTGTTGTGTCAGTTCTCTGGTTCCACAAGGGAGCTTAATTGCTTCTTTAACCTGACTGAAAGTGGCTGTCACGACCCCCAGCAGCGTCAGTGAGGTTTAACCCGACCATTGACTCTCACGTGGAACAGTTAAGGACATTGCCATGGAGATGTGAGCTAACTGCGCACTGAGTGCCTGGGACAGGTCTCCCCTGGCTGAGCAGTGCAGCCACAGGCCGGGCTCACTGCAGGGTCTTGTCACGCCAGGAACAGCGAGGGACTCACCGTAATGAAGGCTGCGAGTCTGGAAAACAAAATGGCAGCCTCATAAAAATGTCCCAGGTTAGCGAGCCAGCCCAGTGTGTGTGCTTGCTTGGGCAGGCGCTGGAGGCTGGTGCAGTGAGTGGGGAGATGTGTGTGAAGGAATATGTGGGGTGCACATGGAGGGCTGTGGGGTGGGCCATGGCTGTATCAGCTGGTCCCTATAGGAGCTCCACTAGGGCAACCCCCATGGGAAGGAGCTGCCTGAGCAGCACGGTACATGCACACGGGGCCTGGCACCGCCACGGCCAGGTACAAATACCCCGAGGGCTGGCAGGGCCCGAGGGGAGGCCCCAGGGGCTCACGTGGCTGCTCTTACAGATCGGAAGTTAAGCGACGTGCGGATCAGGTTTGTGGAGCGCGTGAGCAAGGCAGTGATCAGCAATCTCCTGGACGACCTGCTGGAGAGACGGGTGCTGAACGAGGAGGAAGTGGAGGAGGTGAGGGAGAGCTACAGTAAGAAGAGTGACCAAGCCAGGTGCCTGATCGATGGGGTGAGGAAAAAGGGTGCCAGAGCCAGCGAAATATTCATCGAGCGCCTCTGCGTCAGAGATGTCCACCTGGCCACAGAGCTGGGGCTCGGAGCCCCCTCAGGTGAGAGGTGCCACAAGGGCTGGTTCTCCAATCTCTGTGGGGCTGCACGCACGGGACACCCGGCTGGGCTGGGCAGGGGTTCTCCCATGGGCACTGGCCTGTGGCAGCCCCACTCCGTGCAGGGTTCTCTCCCCTTCCAGGGCGTGTGACATGCGCACACTGGTTATTAAACCCGCTGCAAAGCTTGGGTGCTGCTGCCCAGGCCCATGTTTCCCATTCGCCGCAGCAATGGCAGAGCCAATGCCACGGACGTGCCCTGCTCTTTGGCTGCACTGGGATTCCCCGGACCCCGGATTCCCAACAGGGCAGCTAGGGAGGCCAGGCTGACCCACCCCTCCCTGCTGGGCATCAGCAAAGGACTGAGCAGCTTCCTGCCCTGAGTGGCAGAGGTGCGAGCACACCCCATGAGCGTCCTGCTGGGGACGGGGTTCCTCACGCTGGGATCTCCCCTTGGGGCGAGGGCCAGGCCCCACATGCTGCTCAGAGTGCGGAGATGCTGCCCTCCTTCAGAGCAGGGTACCCGTGGCACAATGGGGCAGGGGTGCCCTGAGTCCACCCACCACGTTCCATGACCCTGGCACTCCCAGGTGCACAGTGGCAGTCGAGGGGCGATGGAGAGGGACAACTCAGGCCGTCTCTGCTGAACGGGGGAGACTCCCGGAAGTTGGACAGTCACAGCCCTGCCTATCCCAGCCCCCCAGCTGGCCGTGGTTGTGCCCTCGCCAA